TTAGAGCATGCCGTTGACAAATGCAGGTGATTTTTAACATGATCCTAATTGTATTTTAAAAAATCTCAGGCAAAAACAATCAAAAAGGGGTGGAAAATTGAATCACCCGTTCAGCCGCTACAGAGACAGCCGAGTCCTGAGCAGCTAAAGCAGTAGTGCGCACGTTATTCAGTTCAGCTTCGAATTTAGTAACAGTTTCTTGCAGACTAGTGCGCTCCAGACTAAGGGAGTCAATGCGCTCTTTGCACTTTCGCAAAAGTTCTTCGCGAGTCCAAAGCTAGTAGATACAGAGAAAATATGAATAAAACAAGATACTAAGAGATATTAAAAATAAAAATGTAATAAAAAAATAAAAAAATAAAGGGAGACAAAGTGGAATTCACTTAGATCTGAGTCCTCTGCCATAGTATAAAGGATAATTCTCTGGATCGGATAATGAGTTGGTACATTCCCAGACGCTTCGCCGGCATCGTACGGAGGCGTCATCCTTTGTGTGGAGTTACAACTTAACAAAGTAACAAGTTATAAATCCGTGTTAAGTATGGCACCCCTCTAAAAAAAATACCGACGTAGCGTCTGGGAACATATGATGTTATTGGTCCGATGCTTGAAATTATCCTAAATACCATAGCAGAGGATTTATGGTTATGTACATTCCACAAGGTCTTCTTGTCGCTCCGACCAAGTTTTCAAAACGAGGTCAGATCAGCACTACGCAATCAAAGGGGACAACAACCAATCCTAAGGCAACACCTTTTTGGTCTTCATATCTAGGATCTAATCAACTTAAAACTATCTCATTCTTATTGGGGTAGGCCAGTTTCAACAAGTTTCCAGCTAAACTGATAGTAAGTCTTTCCAAAATAAGGGAAAGAGAAGACTTGTATCAAATTTCCCCTTGATATGAATACCAAAGGTCAGTTCTCATCCTGACGGGACAGCATTCTAGGTTTTACCTCGTTGTCTCACCTCCACTCCATACATGTTTGCACCGGAACAGAAGAAGGTTGGCGGAATAGTCAGACAACAGAAGAACAAAAATAAATCGCCGTGGCCTCCTGAAGAAGCGCATTATACGCCTTCCCACAAAATCAAAGTGAGCTCAACGCAAGAAACTGGACCGAAAATAAAAATAGACAAAGCATTAGGTAATAAATCGGATGTATCATCAGTAGAGCCGAGGGTTGGTTACACGAGTTAAGCTGGGCCAGTATACCCTTCAATGAGTTTATCTACCTGGTATAAGTGAGGAGCTCAAGAGCCGCCGTAAGCAGAGATATGATTAGGAGGGAAATATACTTACAGACTGCTTAAGTGTGGCATTCTCATCCTGGATTGACTTCTTCCTCTCCGCTTCCTGATCGTGTCCTTCGCGGATTTTTGACTCCAACTCAGGAGGCAAATCCTTGCCTTCACGTAGAAGAGACACCTGAGCTTTGGTGAGGCAGATCAGCAGGAAAGGTGAGGATTGGAGAGAATAAATAGTGAAAAATTAGGTAAAAAGTGACAGAATAATTCAGTAAGTATACACTATATTTGGGAGTCAGACCGAGAGATAATGCCTGAATCATGTTTTAACAAATTTGGTGAACCTAACTTCATCGTGTATAGAAGAGCACACAAGTATTTACTTGGTTCTACTCTATTAGAGTAGCGTTAAATTCGCAGTTCTTGCCT